TTTGCACCAGTGTTGCTCCAGCAGCGCGTACACTGGGCTCTTCATTCACTGACGGTTCTGTTGAATGCTGCTGCTTGTTTGGGAAAACTGTACCTGGCACCGTCCCCCGCCCCCCCGCTTTGGCTGCAGCAGACTTGGCTGCAGACTTCAGAGACGCGGCGGTCAGGGTTCCAGCCCTGTGGCCCCGGTCGGTGGCATCAACCTGCCTGCACAGGTGTCACAGGTGTCTGTGGTGTCTGTGGTGTCTGTGGTGTCTGTGGTGTCTGTGGTGTCTGTGGTGTCTGTGCTCCTACAGACCGCTCACAGACCCCGCACTTTACGACATAAATTCATTTTGAATATTGTCCTGGTTGGTCCAAACCAAAACACATTTCACAGATTACCTCCATGTTGGAGAGGATCTGAAATGATTATTTTATATTTTTATAATGTTTATATAAATACACAATTTATCTGAATGTAAACATTTGTATAGTTTTATTTGTGATTAACTTTTATTTTTTAACTTATATTAACTGACTTAAATTTAAAAACAAAATTCTTATTAAAACATTTGACTTTTGGACTTATTTACATTTGCAAAATGTAACAAAAAACCCCCAAAATAATTATTTATTTACTGATAAAATCTGTGCTAATTCTTATGACTCTTTAATTATTATTAGGTGTTGGTGATTTTTAGTAATTTAGTCTTGATGTCGATTTTGTTTCTAAACTGAAAAAAAATTCATTTCCAGATCAAATGAAAACTTCACTTCTCCGTGAGGTTGTGGGTGAAGCAGGTGTGAGGCCTGTGTCACAACTGCTGCAGTAGGAAAAGCAGCTGTGAAATGATTCAATTTCCTCTGAATAAATGAAGGTTTTAATAATGGTTTATTTTCACACTCCAGATTTAAACCATTATTTATGTCAGGCTTTCAGTCCAAATAACGAAGGGAAGTGTGAACCGTCAGGCTGGGAGTTAGTCCCTGGTGTCGTTTATAAAAACACTCAAATGACAGTTGTGAAATGACTTGCGTAATTCTGGTGTTTTCTTGACTTCACACTCGACCACATGCATGAGAATCTGCTCTTTTGCAAACATATTGTTCTAACCTTAAAGTTACTGCACACGCGGGGATTAGTAGCCATAAAAACTGTCCCCGTGTGTTTGTTTTTTTCCACATCCAGGAAATCAAATTTGTAATGTTAATTTTCTTTTAAACCGTTTTTATATATTTAAAAAAATGGGTTTTAAAACTGTCAAGATCGCAGAACAAATTGATGGGTAGATAAATCTGCGGGTTGATGAGTCATCACGTCTGTTATGAACTGGTGATTAAAGCTCATGACGCCACAGAACACGTTCAGATATTTGAACGGTTTTTTGTGGGTGTATTCGTTTACTAAGTTCTACTTTTTTCAAACAAAAACGTGGGTCGTGGACTGTGTGCGGCCGCCACAGCTCCACCTACAGGCGACAGACGCAGCAGATTTACAGGGAGTACTGAAGTTGTATAATTAGTAGTACTACAACTTTACGAGTACAACTGTAAAAACCTTTAGCTCATAATTCTAGGAGTTCCATAAAAACAACCTGTGAAAACATTAGCTCTGACTAAGACCCTGAGTTATTAGAATAATATAAACATATTATTTAAATACTTTTTTTTTTACATTCTGAATGAAGCCAAGAAGGAAGTGGCTGGAATATGGATTTCCCAAAATAGAACAGGCCTTTGATTTCAGTTCCAGATGAAGTTCGTTAGTATTTAATCTCTAATGAAATTCATTTTTATGAGAATAATTTCAAAAAAGTATTTAATCTCTAATGAAATTCATTTTCATGAGAATAATTTCAAAATAAATTAATAGAAAACTCATTTGTGTCATTAGTGATGTTCTATCTTTTCTGGCTCTGGTCAGGTTCATGTCAGGTTCATGCACATTTCATCGTGACTTCCTGTTTGTTTCTGACGCTGCTGTTGTAACACGTTCATTACCGTCACGTGATGAGTAACATTAGTGACACAAACACCACGTTACGAGTTGAACATTTGGATCATATTTAACTGACGGTGGATTAAAGCAGAGCTGCAGCTTTTTGAAGTGGATTTTTTTTGGCACGCTGCTGACGTTCCTGTTTCACCTGACCGACCGCTTCAGCTGATTTTCTGATTTTCTTGTGCATAAAACTAAAATATGAGACTCTGTGTTTGCTTCACGTTCCTTCAGATGAATTATTAAGTTATAGAGATTGGATTAATAACGACAGAATCTAATTTTATCCTGATGCAAATTCAGCCGAAGGGCTCCGTGTTTACGTGAGCCTGTCGTCCCAAATCCACTGTGACGCCTCTACAACACCACCGGGGGTCATTTGGGAGGAGAAGGATGAGGAAACTTCATCTCCCTGCCCCCCCTCACTGCCCCCCCGCCCCCATCTCAACAAGGATCTGTTTCCCATGTTTCCATTGAACCAAGAAAGTACAAGGAAACGTTGGCCGTTCACGGAGCAGAGCGCTCGTTGTTGAGACAACTCCACATTCGCTCGTCCTGAAACGCCACAGCTGTGTTTAGCTAACCTCCGCCACATCAGATGGTACGGCTCTTTTATAACGTTTGGAGGCTGAGCCCGGGCTTTGTGGGACACTTTTCTTAGTTTTACTGACTCTTCCTTTTGGACGAGCACCAACGGAGCTGCGTGAAGAGACACTGGGTTTGTTTTTTCTTTTTTCACAAATTCCTCTTTTTTAAGCTGGATCTTCTGCTGCATTTTTATGATGTTTTTTTATTACATTTGTGGAGTTAATGTCGTGTTTGCGTCAAAAACGCCACATGTCGACCTCAGAACTCTAATATTGGTTTTAGTCCTTAAAGCAACAGGTACAAGTTTGCAATTATCGTATTTCAAACACACCAAACCACAAGTGTTATTAATCCAGCTCAGTCCTGTTGACACACACACACACACACATGCTGCAACCCCTCTAATTAGGATTCAACCACAGTTCCCATGATTGGTGTGCTACACGACTCTGGAGGTGGTGGTGGTGTCGGTGGTGTCGGGGGGTTGGAACTCCAGCGATTTACTGGAAGGATCATAAAACTGTAAACCCGACTATACCCGGAAACTATGGGCCTGAACCTACACTTAGTGAGTCCTTCAGTCGGCTCGTATAAGCACAGAAGTTAGTCATCCACTTAGCAGCGTTGGTTTCTGGCTCGTAAAAAAAAAAGTCCGCACAGAACTCCCATTGATCGGTTCCAGTGACTAATTACACGCGACACAGATCCTGCTGTAAATTAGATCATCAATATCTGGCAGACGCCGCAGAGGAGTGGAAACGGGGGTGAGGGCAGTAAATACTGGAGCTCTGGATGCACAGAGGAGCTTCTGTGTGTGTGTGGGATCAGGGCGGAGCAGGGCGGGGGCTTCAGATTGACCCTCCACGTTTCTCCCAGCGTCTGGAGCAGGTTCTGGGCCACGGTGCCGTGAGCTGCCGGGGCGGCCGTCGACCCTCGTCGGTTTGATTGAAGCTCGCTGACAGGGGGCTCGGACCCTCTGTTGGTTGGTTCAGTGTAACGTCTAAGACAGTTCGGCGTCACCTCTTGGACAGACATGAAAACGTCGTCAGAACAAACCAATCGTTGATCAGCAACGTCACCAGGTTCTTCAAACACTCCTTCCTCAGGCTGACCTTTAACCTTTTCAGTTTGACTGTTTGATAAAGTGAGGCTCAGTTTTACCTGATAATCTTTAACTCATTCAGCTAGTTTTGATATTTTTGTGGCTGTCATTTGTCTTTGTTTGTTTTTTTACTTTTACCTCTGACTCACCTGAACAGTTTTCATTATATTAACCTGGCTTTTTTTTAGCAACTTACAAGTGTTTGTGTTTACCTTTTTGTGTGACCTTTGCTAACCTTTAGCCGTAATCAACTGAACCTCCTTCCTGTCTCTGATCATTTTTAGGACCAAACTGATTGTAGTCCAGTCTTTCATTGTTCCTTTTCTCTCTGATCTTCTTGGTTCATTTCTCTTTATTCATGATTAAGGCAGTGACACATGGGGGGGGGGGGGGGTTAACCCCCCCCTGGAACAGTGTAGAAAGTTCTCACAATGGTTAGAGGAGGACAGTAGTGTGAGGGTAATTTTAGCACACACACACACACACTCACACACACACCACTGCATTGGAATGCGTTGATTCATGCTCCGAGGGAATCTTTTCACATTAGCTGATTGTTGGAAATGGGTAAAAAGGAACAGTCCGTGCGTCCAGACGAGGTCTGCCTCACGTCACCTGATCACTGTTGGTTGGACTGGAAGATAAAAAATGTGAAGAATCCAGGGAGTTTAAAAAAAGCAGTGACTTCATCAGACATCTGTTGTTGTTTCCACTTTTCTGACGAGGTAAAAAATGTGGCGCAGCATCAGCAACGCTGGCAACGCAGGACTGAGCAACAGGATGGAGGAAGAGACAGTCACACGATGATAATGTTAGTGTTTTAAACGAACTACAAGTTGAATGGTTAAAGATTAGATCAGATTAGACAGAACTTTATTAAAATGAAAAAAATGAAGGGAATTCATTGAGAAAAAGTTCTGAGGCAGAAGTTGATGTTGATTTTTTTTCATCCTTGTTTCAAACTTCCAGTTCCTGTCATGAACTCCTTCATGCAGATCCTGCTGTACGTATCAGGTGTTAAAGTGATGGTTTGGGGGCCAACACGGGACGTGCTGTGTCTGAACTTCTCTGAAGGTTCTGAAAAGTTTCTGTTTGGTGGAATTGAGTTCAGGATCTGAACCCTCCCTCTGCACTGATCGCATCCTCAGATATGATCAAGAGGAGTGGATGGTTCAGTGACGCGAGGTGGTTCAGGGACACATGTGTGTCACATTTACACAGAGAGAGAGAGAGAGAGAGAGAGAGAGAGAGAGGCAACCCCCATTTGTGTGTCTTTGTGCCTGTTGCCTGTTAAGGTGACTCATTTGGGTTTGGTTTGTGTCTCCCACAGAGCGTGAGTGAGTGAGTGACCACGCAACAGTTTGGAACAAATGACAGAAGATTAGAGGCCGTTCCAGCAGCGGGAGATCAGTCTAATCTGATTACGTCTGAGCTCTGAGAGATGCTGTGAGCCGTTCCTCCTCTGATGGATTCTTAGAGCCGCTCCCAGATCACACACATCAGCATCTTTCCTTGCGGGAAGTCGGAGTACGGGGGCCGGCATGTGGCCCCCTGACCTGGGGCCTCCTGACGTCCAGCTGACTCTTCCCGGTTTTGGGAGCGTGTTTGAAGATGCCGAGGATCTCCAGGCCCCGCTGTCGTCCGGAGGCTTCTGTCAGGCGCCGGTACCTTCGGGCGGTATGTGCTGCGTACCCATGACGTCCCTGTCCCTGTCCTCCCTGGGGAGAGACCTCACGTCTTTACTGAACTGTAAGACCAATGGGTTCCACCTGGAGAAGTCGGTGGAGGACTTCGCCACAACCGGAAACCAAGAACCCAAAACCAACCAGAGGTTCAGCTGTTACCCTCAGTCCTCCCTGCCTTTGTCCTACATGCTGACCGGCTGTGCAACGTCTCCCACCTTTTGCACCCCCCCGCCCTCTGTGTCTTCTAACTCCACCTCCTCCTCCTCTTTGTTCTTTCCCTCCTCCGTGCCTCCTGCCGACGCCAACACCAAAACATCTCAACCACAGCACAAGCTTCAAGACGAGTATCAGTCCATCAAGCAGGAGCCGGCCGATGACTTCCTGCCATGCAAGACGGAACCGTTTCACATGAACAACCAGCAGGGGGAGCTGTTTCACGTTGGTCAGCCCCTGGAACGCCACGACGCCCAGGACGGTACCCAGACACCTCTGCACTCGCCGAGGCTCAGCGGTGCGGTGGGCCAGGACCCCGGAGCGGAGCAGCAGGAGCAGCTTTGTCACTGGATCGACTGCAGCGCTGCCCACAGCAGCCAGGAGGAGCTGGTGAGGCATATCGAGAAGGTTCACATCGACCAGCGCAAAGGCGAGGAGTTTGCGTGCTTCTGGGCCGGCTGCGTGCGTCGCCACAAACCCTTCAACGCTCGCTACAAGCTGCTGATTCACATGAGGGTCCATTCAGGAGAGAAACCCAACAAGTGTATGGTGAGTACTACCAGTACTGCGTTGGTAATGACTGAAGTACTTTTTACTTTGCTGTTTGTGAGAGCTGGAGTTTTTTCAAGAAGGAGAGATTTCATTAAATAAGTTTGAACGTTTCCAGAAACAAATCAGTTCAATAATAACAGTAATAACAGTAATAACATGTCATTTCATGTTTCATGGTTTTATGACTGGCTATAAAACAAATATAAACCTCACATTATTTGGGAAAATAAAGTTAATATTTTTCTGAGATAGTTTAAAGTGAAAGAAAATTCAAGTCAAACCGCTGTAGCTCCTCGACACCTGCAGGTATGAAACACACTTTTCAAAAACGTTAAACTCCTAGAGCAGAGAGAGAGCATCACGGCGGCCAATCAGAGTCCAGATGAGCCCCCCGCCCCTCCCGGCCCTCCCTCTGGCTCTTGTCCGTGAGTTTTATCAACAGCAGCTTTTTTCTTGTGTTGAAGTCTTTTTCCATACGTGAGGTGTAAAACAAGAGGAAAAATGAAAAACTCCCGTCGTCCGTTCACAGCTGACTCAGCAGTAACGGAAGAAGGTGGTTTTCACAATCACTTCATGCACGAACATTTGTCCAAAACACTCAGGGATAAAACTGGCAGGCTCATCAACAGTTGTGGCTATTTTCAATCAGTCAAAACATCTCCCGTGTCCAACTGCGTGTTTTGGCTCCAGCCCGCTCATTTGGAGGATTAGCGGGGTTTGAGTTGCTTACGACGCGTCTCCGCTTTCCCCAGAATGTGCAGCTGGTGATCAACTGTCCATCAGACAGACGGGATCAAACGCTTTCCTCCACTCACGACAGGTTTCCCTGACTCATGCGTGCCGGGGGAAGAACTGTGGCCGCGGCCATCGCATGAATGAATGAAGGTTGTGTCTGCGGCGCGGCGGCTGCCAGGATCAGCTGATCGCCCTGCGGTTCCTCTGAGTTTATGGGCAGCAGAGATGGAATAAACAGACAAAGGCAGACTGGTCCACAGTCAGGATCCGGCCTGACCTGCTGATGCACAGTAATGTGGTGCATTCTTGAAGTTGTCGAGTCAGCAGATCTGGTAAAATCATTGACAGTTTATATTAAAGGACTGTTTCCATCCGGAGCCCAGAGGAGTTGACTGGAAATCGAAGGAAAAAATCAGTTGGAGGATCAGACGGTATATATCAGTCAGGAAACCTGTGTTTCTTTGTGTGTGTTTTATGGGCTTTTTCCCTCTAAATTGGATTGTTAAAGTGAATTTGAACCTGAGGAGTAGTTCTGTGGGTCCACGTTTGTGAGCAGTGTGGTCTTGGTCCAAACGCTGTCACCACAGTGGTCTCTAAGTCCCGGTGCCGCCCCGCCCTCCGTCACCTGTCATGAGTCCACGGGCCTCAGTGACTCTGCCCATAATTCCCTAGTGTCCCCGCTGTCGTCAGCCCAGGGACTCCATTAATAATTCATTCACAAATATCCACCAATGAGTTAGTTCATTAACATGACATCATTTGTTGCCGACAGAGCGCGTCTGCCTCCTCACAGACTCACACCATGAACATCAACAACACAAACATGTCGTCAGTGACAAACCTCTCTGCTGCTGCTGCTGTTACTGCTGCTGCTGCTGCTGTTGCTGCTGCTGTTACTGCTGCTGCTGTTACTGCTGCTGCTGCTGCTGCTGCTGCTGCTGCTTCAGTGGAAAGTTAATAATTCTGATGAATGCGTTCAGTGTTTGGTCATTAATTCATTTTTATTAAACAGCTCAGATCAGACAGCTGTCATTCTGTCTGTAAATACACACTCAGTGTTTTTAAATACCACACAGTAGACCAGGCGTGTCCAACGTCTGGCACGGGGGCCAACTGGGCATTCACACAGGGCTGACGCGGCCCAGGACATTTGTCTTATTAATAAGGTTTTATGGTCAGACATTGATATTTGTTTTAAATGTATAGTTTTATTGCAGAAATCCCAGATTTTACAAATTTCCTTCACGTTGGCTAGCATTTAGCTACCGTCCCTGATGAATAGATGAATCGAACAGACAGGATCCTGTTCTAAAACAAACTGAATCTAAAACGACAGGATGAACCAGATGTTGGATCCTGTTCCTGATGGAAGTCAAGTCCATGAAAACATCAGCTGAAGCTGAAGCTGAAGCTGCGGTTGGATTCCTGACCCGTCAGTTCTCAGACATCTGCTCCTTTCAACTGATGTCGTGTTCGTTTGCAGGACAGGAAGTGTCTCCGTGTCGTTGTGAAGCCGTCATAATCTGAGCAGAAACGTTCGACGCCAAAGATCCAAAGATCTGCGTGTGTCGTCTGTTGCCCCGCGGCCGTAGATGAATCAAACACAATGATGTCGTTTTGTGTTTTTTTAACGACCAGAAAAGGCCGACGTTAACTGACCTCGTAAAACGCTGGAGCGAACGTCAGGAGTTTTTTCCACATTTTAAAAAGCGGTGACGCGGGCGGCGTTCCAGCTCTGATTGTTTGTTTGTTGATCAAATAAATCAATAAACTAAATGTTTTAAATGTGATGAATCTAAAAGAGCGTGAGGATCAGTTCCAGGTCCAGCCCGTGCTCCTCCGTGTGGTTCCTGACAGCACAGACCGTGTCAGTGCTGCACGTCCAGATCGAACGTGACAGCGTTTGTAAAAGTCAAGTTATAAAATGTTGCTTTACAGTCTCTGCAGGACCATCGACCGCTGACACTGGAGTGGCTGCAGCCCAAGACAAACACTGTTAATGTGTAGCACCTGTGTGTGTGTGTGTGTGTGTGTGTGTGTGTTTATCACCTCATTTCTTTTACAGATTAAATCTATAAAACTTTCTGGTTGTGCAGAAAGTGCTGCAGAATACTATAATAATACTATGATGTACTATAGTGTGTATACTACGATTTATACTACACTAATATTTTACGGTCTGTATAGTACTATACTGTACACACATGGAAGTACACTATAAAATACTATATTTACTTTGCTATTCCAGAATAGTACAGTTGATCATATACTACTGTATACTGCTGCATCAGGTATTCTGTACTGTAGTATAGTACACAATATGGAGTACTGTACTCTGCATAACATTTCACTAAATACTAATATGTATATATTTAAAATACCATGATATACTGCTATGTGCTATTACTATGTTGTACTACACTGTACTACACAACCTTTTGTGATACATTTGACTTTATAGAGTACTGGACTGTAGTACTACGTCAAGTTTTATAAGTATCTGTTGTACTCTACCAGACTGTACTAATGTATGCTGTACCTAAGGTACATTAGTAGTACTACTACTGCATATTTGTATTTCTTTTTCAGTTCGAAGGCTGCTCCAAGGCTTTTTCCCGCCTGGAGAATCTGAAAATCCACCTGAGGAGCCACACGGGAGAGAAACCGTACATCTGTCAGCACCCCGGCTGCCTGAAGGCCTTCAGCAACTCCAGCGACCGGGCCAAGCACCAGCGAACACACCTGGACACGGTCAGTGATCGGCAACACCACACACACTCAAATGTAGGGTCTGCCCCGTCGTCATGGAGACGCAGCGCGCTCAGAGTCAGAGAAAACAAACAACTGCACCGGATGAAGAGCGTCTTTTTAATCAAATCATTAACTATGACATCAGCAGCAGGAGTCAAACCTTTTACAGCACTAATACGATGAAACCCAAATTCCTCCGAGGATCCGGAGAAGCCGGGCTAAACTTCCCGCTGCTCCCTCTCTCTGCACTCGTAAATCTAGTCTTTGACGGCATAAATAAGTTATGAAATGCAACCGCTGATGCAGCCTGATGTGAGGGAACAAAAATAAAGCTTTAACTCACCACGGCTCCCTCTGGTGCACCAGGTGCCAAATCCCGTGCCAGGATTGTGGCTCCTTCTGGAGGCAGATTGTGATGGAAAATACCTTCCTTTAAGTGTTTTTCCAGCTCTCATATCTATATTTGTTCTTCTCTAACACACGGACTTGTCAGTTTAATTAAGAGTTGGACTTCGCCCTGTTGGCCTGAACCCGTGTCGATGACGTGGCGTTTTAATTGCGCTTCTCCTCATCGTCGAGGGGACGCAGCTTTTCGTGGAAGAACGACGTTCCCTGCGGCTGCATTATTCCACGGCCTACAACAATGTACAGGAACGACCTCCACCGAGGTGATTCTGTCAGTGTCTGTCTGTCTGTCTGTCTGTTAACTCTCTGATTACTCAACAATTACTGAGCCCGTTCCCATGAAATGCTGTGCAGCGGTTGGGAATGAACAAAGGGAGAATCATTCCCACTTTGCAGCCGATTGGACCAGGCGTCTTTACAGAACTTCATGCTGTTGAAGAAATGTAGTGGAAAGACGCTGGATTTGGCTTCCTGTCTGCTCTTTGTCCCAAAACTCATGACTCAGGCTTTTTTTAAAGCCTCAAAAACATATATGTATCTGAGCTCGAACGCTCAGTAAAAAACAAACCAACGCACGCCATAAAACGCTAACGACAGACGGAGTGTAAACATACATTCAGACACGGTGAAAAAAAAAGACCAAATTATTTTTTGGCAGCAGCGCTAACAGTAGTCTACTGTAAAAACAAGAAAACACACTAATGCAGCGTAATGACCTCCATCTTGGAGGTTCAGCCTTTGGTGCCGCTCGTCTGTCTGTTAACTCTCTGATTACTCAACAATTACTGAACCCGTTCCCATGGAATTTTGTGGAGGTTTGGAAATGAACAAAGGAAGATCCTGAGTCCAGGACTGGCGGGGGGGGGAGGTGGGGGGGGGGCAGAAGGGGGGGGGTGATACAGGATTTCATTTTTCTTTGTTTTACTTTGGAAATTTACATGTTGGCAGAAATGTGTGTTTTTTTAGGATCCTCATAAGAAACATGTCAATTTGACCAAAGAAAATATTAGAATATAGGTTGGTAAAAAAAAAAAAGTACAGGACAGAAGCTAAATGTTAGCTAAGACGTGAAGTGCGACGTATAACATTATCCATTATGCTAACATGTAGTACATGAAGCTCAAATATAGCAGCAAGGGCTAAATGTTAGTCAAAAAATAACACTTGACGTTTGTTGAAAGGTTCTTAAAGAAGCTCAAAGTAAAAAAACAACAACAACAAAAGCAGGACATTCACGAACACTAATATTAACCCAAGGAACTGGTGATGAAACTGAAGACGAGCTCCGTCTCTGGTGGACGGAAACTCCTAAATGTTGGAAAGTGTCTGTTTTCACAGCGTTTTAAAACCGGCGTTAACACCTTCTTCACGCCGACGGCGTTCTCTGTCCACATCTGAGACCGTGACAAAAACGATTCGATTTGTGAAAATAACGCAGCCAAAATCAACAAGGACAGCGCGAGGGCGAGTTGTGAAACGTCCTCCTCAGGACTCTTCTCTGATTGGTCACGGCTCTCAGAGCCCGCTGGATTTATGTCTGTGAGTTGTCTGTGATGCTGACACACGTAACGTATCACTGGTACAAAGTGGAACGACCGCATCACACGGTCACTGCTCCGAGAGGTAATCTGTTCAGACTCACGGAGCAGCGGGATGGTCTCCCAGGGAATATTCTTCAGAAAGGATTTCGAAATAACATGATGTTTCCCAACCTCTGCCAGTGTGTGAAGTCAGGATCTGTGGGAGAAAAGTTGGTCAAACTCTGGAGCCGCACATTTGAATGGTTTCAAATCCTTTAACACAGAAGGAAACACACGGGGAAAGCTGAGTGTGTAGTGTAGTGTAGTGTAGTGTAGTGTGGTGACGACTTTTGACCTGTTAAATTAAAGGTATTCAATAAATGTCCGTATTTTTCCATCACATTCCGTCACAATCCTGGCACTGATTTTGGCGACTGATACACCAGGGGGCGCAGTGGTTTCATGGTTAATAATCTGGTTAGTAATGGTTAGTAATTTTTCTTTGCGACTTTAACTTTTGTGCTAACTAATTGATTTATGAATTAATACAATGGTTTTTTTTTTGCTAATTTAATATAAAATATCCTGATCTGACGAGAGCGTCACCAGATGAGGATGCATGAAAAAAAAATCCTCCCTGTCACGTCATGACCTGCTCCACCGCTGATGTTTGTAAAACAACATTTCCTTATGACATAAAACATAATTAGTTGAGGGTAAACCAGTCCGTTGGATTAATGAGATTCTGATTAGTTGTTTTTTGGTCGTCAATCAAAATATTTAGTAAAACTGTGACCCGCTGCATGTGGTGGTATATGTTTTCATATTTATGGTTATGACTTTGTGGGATGTAAACCTCGGCGGTTCAGATAAATACTGTTCATGTGTTTCCATGAAACCCTAATGGACTCCACCTGTTTGCGAGCTCCGTAATGAAACGGAGTCGAAATCTGCGAGAAACCAGATTCATGGAAATGGGCTCGTTAACTCATCTAAACTCACAACTTTGATAAAATTGTGAAATACAAGCAGCACAACCTCACTAATGGGAAGCAGCTTTCCTCTGTCAGTGCTTCTTACGTTTAAAACATCTCCCTTCATTGTTTCTCGCATGAAAATGTGCTGCGAACTTTTCCAGAAGATAAATTTATGCAGCATGTGTTATAAATTTTTCATTCGCTGCAGAAGAAATCCTCTGTTTTCTGTTTGGAGATTAGTTTCTGATTCACATTGATGTTACTCATGAATGCACTGATTTAAAGCTTTTTAACTCTTCCTCTCCTTCCTCTTCTTCCTCTTCCTCTTCCTCTTCTTCTTCTCATGCCTGCAGACTGAAAGGTAAACATCTCCGCCGTTCTTTCTCTCCTTCCACAGTCCGACACCTCCTCTCAGCTGATTCGTTCATGCTCTGCACAGGTTCCTCTGATCGTTCAGTCACCTTGGAGGACTGGAGGATTATCAGTGAGGACATCAGCGTCAGCTGGGCTTCCTCGGGGTGAAGTGTGTGTCAGAGATGTTCCAGTTAGGCCTGCGTTTATGGGGCTACAACACATTTTCTCTGCTGTTCTCGTTTACCGTTGAACAAAGTAAAGACAGAGCGAATGAAGAAGTAATCCACTGCAGGCCGAGGACATTAATGTGCTGATAGATTTGAAAGAAACAAGACATCTGCTTCTGAGCAACAGCTAGAACCCCCCCTCCCCCCCCCCGGTCCATACACTGGTGGTGATAATGGTTGGTGAGACTTCACGAAAATGTTGTCGTGATGGTGGAAGAAACAGACAGAACAGAAAGAGAAGGAGCAGAAGGCCGACAACCATCAGAGATGTTCCTGACCTTTGACACCAGGTCATAACCTTTGTCTGGTCACTCACATCGGCCCCTTGCAGAAATAGGGAAGGAACGTCTTAGAACTTTTTGACCTAGCTCGTATGTGCTGTATCCTCATGTGACCCCGAGTAACAAAACACAGGAACTGTCCCTTTAGGACCTGCGCTCCTTTCATCACACGGCCTCTGCAAATCAAATGGAAAGTACAAAGGCTGCTGGAGGTGGAGCGTGTGATTGGTGATTGTATCTCGTGTTGGACAGACCTCGGTTCTAAACCCAAACCCACTCCGACGCCGACGCCTCCTGTGTTTCTGTGTTTGTTTTCTTTGATTCGTGCCACGTTTCTTCAAGCTTGTTCTGCAGCAGCTGAAAATGTTTCTGTGAATGTCAGATCTTGTTGTCGGAATCAAGGCTAGAATGGGAAATACCATAAATCACTAACATAAGTCGAGAGGCTGGTGGAGCTCCCAGGCTCCAGGCTCCAGGCTCCAGGCTCCAGGCTCCAGGCCTGGTACCTGCAGCTGCTTCAAATATCAGAAGAGATAGAACAGAAACCACAGCTTCAGTTTCCCAGGCCTTGATGTAGAGCAGAGGCTGAGAAGCCAGCACGGTTATTTATTTTCATTTGGTTTTCATGGCTTCCTCCGTGTCTGCCTTAACTCACTTCTTCTTCTTCTTCTTCTTCTTCTGCTCCGTCCACAGAAGCCCTACGCCTGTCAGATCCCAGGCTGCACCAAACGCTACACCGACCCCAGCTCGCTGAGGAAACACGTCAAAGCCCACTCTGCCAAAGGCCTGCAGGAGAGAGAGGTGAAGGTAGGAGACACAGACACAGACACAGACACAGACACAGACACAGACACAGACACAGACACACCTGAGGTGTGAATGGTGTTCTGTCTTTTATTAACTGTTGGGTTTGACTTTAGCTCCGCCCATGACCACAGAATGGAATATTAATGAGAATGAACCCTGGTGTGGATCATTGATGAATGATCAGTAGTTGACTCAGAGTCAGAGTCAGACTCAGACTCAGACTCAGAGTCAGAGTCACTTCAGGTGAAACTGATTTCATTTTTACTCCGACCTTTTTTTGATGAAGTAGTTCATCTGAGGTTGAAGTGAATCTTGAACCTCTCTGTTTCTGATGAGGAGGAGATGGATGTGGAGCAGCAGGAGCAGTGGGGCGGGGGGCGGGGGGTGAGCATGTTTGTGATTGTAATACAACAAACAGAGAATTACACACACTCTCTGGAAATCCAGAATAGGGAGCCTATTGTTCAGGGCTCTCTGGCCCTTGTTTGTTTTCTGTGGACCGTGAGTGACACGGGGGCATTGTGTGTGTGTGTGTGTGTTTGTGTGTGTACTCCCATGCCTTGTTTAGCTTAAACACAACCACGTGTGCTCTTGAGTTGTGACAGGGCTAACACGCCCTGCTCCGCCGCGAGCTCCAAATATTAAAAGCTGCCCTTCATAAAGTCCGTCCGTTTCTCTTGGCCGATGTGTCACGGCCATTGAAGTCTGTGCGATCGTAAACCCTGCTTTGAATAAACATTTTTTGCTGATTATTCACTCCAGTATGCTGTGGTTCTTGGGTGTCCTTCACAAGCTTCTTCTGAGTCCTGGAGCTGTGGAGAAGTTGTTTTGGAAAGTCCTGGGGGACGCTCTGTTAACGCCGGATAATAAAGTACATTTTCTTTTGTTTGAACATTCTGGAAGAGGATTGCCTAACAAGAGTTTAGGGTTTTGTACTTTTCAGAAGTTAGATCACAAGACAAAACAAGAACTGTGTGTGTGGTGCAAGCGTCATCTTTGGGTTTGTTTTTTTTTTTTTGTTTGTTTCTTGTGTTGAATAATGAACAGTAGAAAAGTCACTGCTTCAGTTCATCTACTGTACCTGATGAAGAGAGGGAGGGCACGGGGCTAAGGTACAGCTTCACGACAACTTCATCAAACTTCATTAGTCTCCTGAGGGGGGGGGGGGGGACGAGGAGGGGTCACGGGGTCAGGGGCTCCTGGAGCAGCAGTAAAAATTAAAACCAGTGACGAAAAAAATAACACAGCAGGTGATCGACAGTACTACTAAACTGACAGTACTACTAAACTGACAGTACTAACAGAGTAACTAAACAAATACTCTGTCTTGTTCTAATGAACAGACTCTTTATCAGAGATGGTTCTCAATATGAGGTTTGCAGCCAAATAGACGATGTCAGTTGTTGTGGACTGACCCAGGACTGAAGTGGACGAGGATCTCGTGGACTGACGCGTCCAAGTTTGAGATTATTCTTTGGACTCATGCACAGTGTTTTCAGAGGAAGCCAGGAGAAAAATAAAATCAGTGGCTGTTTGAGGTCGTCACTCCAACGTGTCATGGTTCGGTCGTTAGGAAGATTTCTTTATGAATCGAACTTGAAAAAGAAAAAAAAGACTTGGAATGTGAACGTTCTCAGACACAGAGGAACCCAGTCCCTGATACTGGTTCTGAATTAGCAGCACTGTGTACACGCGGGCTAACAAACAGCTAACAGCTAACAGCTAACCATCTGTTCTGTCGGACCCACAGGTTCAGGTGCACTCCATGCTGGAGTCGGACGTTCTGACCGACTGTTTGGCCAAGCAGCACCTGCAGAACCCGTCCTCCCTCCAGGGGAACGGCCCAGCAGCAGCGCCGGCCTTAGACGACTTCACAGGTACGTGGACTCAAACACCTGCTCTGACCAAGGCTGCCTCTCCAGTTTTCCTCCATGCTCTCATCTGCTCC